ATACGATACACGCGGCACTCACAACGCAAGCGCGATCAGCGATGACAGCGATAAATATACGAGTTTGTCGACGGAATAACTTGACCTTTGAAAGCACGGAAGAAATTGCAGAAATTGAATGTTTAAAAATAATCACGATCAGTGAGAATTAAACTAACGAGATTTGATTAAAGTTGGTTCGATTTGTCGCGATCAGGATAAATTTCCAATTGATCACTGCATTCATTTTGCTATTTTTCTGCTTATTGTGATCAAACACATTCGTCAAACTCGTCGACGGCTAAACGACGATTGATCGTGAAAGCGATCGATTTTTCAGAAAAGTCTCAGAAGTCACATTTGTGATGCCGTCGATGTTTGTCAACACAAAAGGCCAGCTTAACCTGTTTTAACCTTAGTTGATCGATGATGTCAATACGACAATGTTTTGTATTACAACACACCATTGATTAATCAATTCTTTGATTAATTAATTAACGTTTCTCGATTTCCGCCACCACTACGACACACGAATAATACAGTATGTTGCCCGTTCTTAGTACAATTTAGAAGTAAATGTTACACGATACAAGGCTGCTTGCAACTATCTAGTGAGTACATTCTCTCTAAAACTTTCAGAATTTTACTTTGAAAAATGAAATTTTTTTCATTTTATTCTTAAAAATTGGAAAAAAATTGGAATTTATTTTTTATGACTTTTTTAATTTCTCTTCTCTCTCTTTCAAAACTATTTCAATTTTCATTCTTCAGAGTGAGATTCCACCATAAGGAATTTAGAGATTTAATTTTGTACCATGTATTTAATTTTAAGCACAATTTCTGTTTCCAACTTTGGATTCTATTCTAATTAAGGAATTTATTTTACTTATTTATTATTATTATTTGAGCTGTTTAATTTATTCACTCAATATTTTCATTAAAAGTGTTTACTAATCTTTTTATAGATTTAATACAATATATATTGAAAAGGTCAGCGGCATGTTTCGAGATACTCAAAAAATCGTCGTGGAAGACGGGAGTGCCCCGTCGGCATCGTATGTTATAAACATTCGAATGGAAGATATGTTGGAAAAATTGAAGTTGTTGAATTACGACGAGGAATTTGTCCAAGAACTGAAAATAAAGCCGATCAATAGGTGAGATATCGTAATGTTGATGCACTATGTTCTGTTTAATATTTGATAAGATAATCGTAAACACACATTGGAAAAACAGGCATCATTTTGTAATTCCAACAAATCCTGGTGAACAATTTTACACGTTTACTTGTCTGGCTGCATGGCTGATTAGAAAAGCAGGAAAAAACTTTGAAATACCACAAGAATCAGATGATCCTAATTCCACAATAGCCCTGATCTTAGATTATCTCAGAGAAATCGATATACCCGTGGAATTCCCACCTAATAAACTCAAGCAGGGCAGTGGAGAACACGCTGTTTATGTTTTGGATAATTTGGCTGATAACGCTTTGAAGGTCGCACAATTCAAATGGAAAAGGTACAGCAATTGGTAGCTTCCATTGTAAGTTTCATTAAGTGAAATAAATTATTAAACTGCGACTAACATCAGGATAAATATTCCACCCGATGAACCTACACCGGAACCAGATATCGAGGATGACGATGCAGAATTAATCTTAGAGAAAGTGGAGGAGGAAATGATGGCCGAGTATGATGACGACGATCAAGATATCTTACATATAGACGATATTACAAAAATTTACGGACAAAATATTGTAGGTGACATTTTATTCTTAGAGAAGAATTTTAAATAACGTAATATATATATATA